GACAGAGATAGAACGTGCGGGCAAACAGAAGTATTTAACACAAAAAGCTTTCAGTTGTAACTGTAAACTTGAACGCTGGTAAAAAATAAATTGACAAGAAAACTAAACCACGAAACAAACAACCTTAAATTCACCCTCACAACTAAAGTGCGTATCATCGTATGCTGTCGTAAATCACCTCTGCAGAATACTGTGAACTATTGACTTTTTTGTTTATATGTATAGCAGCCAAGTAATAATCGTATCTTCGTGAAAAGGTATGCCCTTTCGTTTGCGAGAGAAACGCGAATTTCACAGCCGTTTATCGTCGCCGATCAATTACCGTAAATCACGTCGGGGAGAAACACGAAATATATTCATCGTACTTTTCGAAAAGAATTAGGGAAGAATATTTATCTCGAGACCACCCATTCCTTCCTCGTATGATTTACATTCCGTCGGGATTGTTTACGCAATGGAGATACCGACGTAGGTTTCCAAGAGATTCTTCGGATTATCTTCCTTCACTATTACGTGTGAAACATCGAAAACGTCTCTCTGTTCGTAACATTTTATAGTACAGATAGATAATCAAAGATTGCAACACTTTTCTTCTTGAGGAGTTTTGCGATGTATTTTGTATCCAACAAAAAAACGTATCTTCTGTGAGAATTACTACGTCTGAGGATGAACTCAAGACGACCTCAAATACAAGATCCGACCATGAATACCGACCTTAATTATCTGACTGTACACGACGAATTATTATCAGCGTGCGCAATTCCCTTGATGAGGGTGAATCAATTATTTCGTTGGAGTAATTTTTCATTCACTTTTCACCGCGCGAGGCATCGTACTCTTTTCATCATACTCTGAGTGACTTCTCGAAGGGCAAGAGGCTACACGATCCGAATGGAAAGGAATATCGCGGACGGAGCAACGGTGGAAGAGGAGAGCGGTCGTCTTGTCCAGCAAGGATTCCACGTCCTGCGGGTTCTACGCTTTAATAATACATCTCGGGACCGTTAATCACACCGTTGAAATATAATTTAATACCTCACCGACCGAAGGACGACCACTAAAAATGACGAACGGCCGGGAAACACGCGGCAAACGTGCCACCTACAAGCCATCCTCGCGCGCCACCCCGGACGTGCAATAACGATAAAGGGTTGGGTATTCGTGAACGACCCTTCTGGTATGGGCACTCGTGAAAGGCGTGTGCGGGCTGTACATTACATTCGTCCACTTTGCCGCACTCAATAGCCTCCCAATTCGCTGGATTCCTTCGTATATGGAGCGACCGAGTGGTTCTTCCTCCGCGATGGCTAGCGATGGGACCAATCCGCATACTTGCGAGCGATATCCGATCAATCGGCTATCCAGGCCGAGTTGTTTTAGCAGTTTACGATTGATACGTTGCCATGGCGGGTACAACAAGGTCTCCACTTGAACGCGATTATCCGTGCGATTGTGTGTGAGCGTAAATGCAAACGCGAGAGTGACTGAATTGCAGATATCGATTATTCTCGTCGATATGTACTGTCAAGTCCAACTGCAATAATCCTCTGATAATCTCTTTGTCACTACACTGAGAAAAAAGAAATGGTTGATCTAATTAAAGTTGTAGAGTTATTTTTGGCTCGACTGCCATACTTTTTGGCCGTTCTGACACAAAAATGGCAGTAACGTGCATATAAAGGTCATTATCACTAACATTATAGCGAAATTTAATACAAAAATAGTTTTCTCTTCACCGAAATTCATAATAATTGTTTCTTTATATGATTATTGTCACAAGTATCAAACATTTTTTTTTCAGTGTACGTGATACTCTTTGAGAAGTTTGTTCATCAGGGCGCTCAAGAGCGTATTTTAGGTTATATGTGCAAAATGGCGACATTCAGTATCAAAATTTTCACGAACAGCGCAGACAAATTACACGAATGTGCATTAGTGCGACAAATGTTACGTAAAATTTTTGTATAATTTTATGCATGCTTCGATTTGATAAGTGAATAAGCTTCTTATAATGCGCCCGACACGAGACGCTATGAATTTGGTGACGCAAGCTGATAAATATGTGTGCACTGCCAAATTACCTGTTGAATACACGGATGAAGTGCGGAAGCAGTGCACACGGAAAAGTGTGCCGGTTCGTTGATTTGATTGAATTAAAAGTAGTCCGACTGGCAACCCGAAGCAGCCAATTTCAGCGCGTAAATGTCAACAGAGAAGACGAATTTCGTTTTCCGCCTCTCGCGACAATGTGGATTTAGGGTTGTGGCTCTCGAAAGTATTCGGGGGAAAGTTTCATTCTATTCTTAGCGCGATGGGAATCCTTCCGAGGAGGGTGGCCATGGTCACGTAGATATCGATTATATTGATCCGAGAGGGACGATCCAGTTACTCTCGACGAAGAAGTCTTCGTTATTGCCGGCATTCGTACTGATGAGGTTCGCTCGAGCATGTTCCTCTTGACCCTTGTGCGACGCTCGTGGGAGCGGAGGAGCTGTTGCTGCGGACCGAATCAAGACGATGTCCGCGACAATGACGGCAATTTCGGTGGACAAAAGTGTTCCCGACGATTTGTGCCGTTGATGCGTGATTTGGCAGTGATCCGGCGGCTTACTGGCCTCCAGAATGGAGCTACATCCTCCAGTTGATTAGCCGCGGTTCAACATTATATTATTGGCAATGATGCAACGATGGATATTTTCAATGTTAAATTAAACGTTATTGTGTGTTACAAAAATTTATCCACAACGTAATAGAAACCAGTTAAATGTCTGAAAGTTACTGATAGTTGGTACGCAAATAGTAAATTGGACAAATAGTAAATTTATGAGTAGTTCCTTTTGACGCGCCACTGAAAATACGGCACCTACCGATACAACTGCCTTAATCGATAACTCAAAAATCTACGTTAAAATCGAAGTTATTTGTAAAATGATAGATGACTTTTTTGTTCGGTTTGATTTAATTTACATGTGCACGAGCGTTTTTTCATTTATCATCTGACATTCTGTATAATTAAAAATTAATTTACTCAAGATTCTCTCCTGTCAACGGGATGCTCGAATCATCTCGAAATCTGTGTCGTAAATATGATACTGTTCTAGGAGATTTCGTTTCCCGACAGTGGGAGCATTAATGCTTTCCCGGTACTCTGATAATATAATTAGCAAAACGAAACAGAGGATGGGGTGTAAGTAATTCGCGGCAAGGTCTATAAATAAAAGTATTACGGCGTTAGCAGCCGCTCATTCGCGTGAACACCGTAGACTTTTTGTTCCATCTTTCTTGACTTTCTCCTCTTTTTTATTCCTTATATAAATAATATTTACACGACCTGAGCGTTGCAGGGGTTTCTGAGATGCGGTAATAAAGATATAAGGCGATTCTTAGATCAGATCACAAAGTCGTTAATAAGAGTCATTGGCGACATACACGAGCCATCGATCAGAATAACTGGCTGCGACACAGAGCTCGTTTCCTTTCCAGAATTATTGTCAAAATGTGAATGATGTTGAAGGAACATTATTGTGTCTTTCAGCGCAAAGATCACTATGTGACCATCTCTTCAGAAGCGACCGGAGCTTAAAATAATTTCAAAACTCGTCACCGTAAACAATGTTACAGAGAAGAAAGAGTGTATCACCTCTGAAAATACTTGGTTCTAATCTTTTGCCACTTCAGATACGTGGAAGGAACGTTTCTATGACTCGTTCTTGAGGGCCAAGCTACACGCCGAATAGATCCTAGAAGCTATCTCCAGCGGTTTTCGAAGAAAGGCATTAAGTCAATCCATAAATCATCTTTCGATTTCGTGGGTCCGGGAACACGTTAACCCGACTAATTTCTTTCGCCGCGGGGACATCCGTTTCCTCTCACATAAAATTGACTTATGTAACACCCGTGTCCCATCTTCTTGAATCGAGCATTCTCCGGCAGGGGAGGGGAGTCATGAGGGCGATGAAAAACCTAAGACCTATTTATGTCGTGTCGAGCTTGAGAACATGTGGACGTGCATAATAAAGAAGCATTGTGTCTTGCGGTGTGTATCACGTCGTGTCGTATAATGATGCTTTAGTGCCACTTCTTGCGGCCGCAAGTTCAGGGAAGGAAACTTCATTTTCATCCATCTTCCTTCGCCTTCGCCGCCTTACGTTAAGACGCTTTGGAGTTAAAAAATTGCGTCGCACCTTAAGGATGCATTGCACGTAAGCTAGTAACACGCGGAACGAATTATGAGATAGTGATCACTCACGTAGTAACGGCTGCGACAATTAGACACAGATGGCGAGTTCAAATAAATGTCATGGGAATTATGTTTGTTTATTTTTCTTTACGTCGGTCTGACGATCATTCCTTAATTGATCGATACTTTGCAAAATCAAATTAGGATGATTGTGCTCCATAAACTGAAAAAGCGAAAGTTGTGTGTCTAAAGATAAAAATTATATTTTTGTGCATATTAATGATAAAAACATGATAGCTATGTTTTTATTTTTATATGTGGAACTAACATTTTATGTATATCAGAGGAAGTGCAATTAAATTTTTCCAACTGAAAAAAGATATTTGAATAATAAGGAAAAATTAAAGAGATGTAAGGCTCAGTGTCGTATTTTCAGTAGTGTGTATCAAGAGGATTATTCATAAATTTATTATTTGTCCAAATTACGTTTTTCTATACACATAATTTCATTAGTAATAAATTCATTAGTGGTCGTTTTATTGTAGACATTGCTAGAAGTAAGGTGATCAGATTTCCCAGCCCTGAATTCGGGACACTTCATAAATGTGTGAAGCGGGGGGCGGGGGGAGAAAGATAAAAAGATCCGAAAATTTGTTGACAATCATTGAAAATGATGACAAATCGGTGTCCCGAATAGCACTCGAAAAAATTCGGGGTGAAAAAGGGTAAAAAATCGGGTGAAAAATCTGGTCACCTTAGCTGTATGTGTCGAGAAGGAAGGAGATTACTCTGTAATAATATACTTACGATATGTCCTGACGAGCACACGTCGTTATTTTCGGCACTCTAATACTTATTTTCGCAGGAGACTCACAGGACACAAGCGAAAGACATATGGAATACGAAGCGTTGTGTTCATGGCAGTTGCTCGGCATGAAAAGTTCGCAGCGTGCGCGCTGTCAGTCACGTACACCAAAAATTCATTAGTGCGCCGAAAGTGCCAAAAGTGCATGAATGTGAACGCGGCAGTGATGCGAACGAGGTCGCGCGTCTATAACGACGCGATCTGTTCGGCGCGCCGCGGCGGACGCTTTAACCACTTGCTCGAGTTACTAACCACTCTAGATCAATCGCGTTCGTTTCGTAATACGGGATTGTCATCGTGGTTATTCAATCTAGACGTTGGTAATGAATCGCGCGAAATGCTCGATCTTTTCGCGCCAAGCAGCAGCCATCGACACACATCGGTCCACATCGCTTCGCGTTTCTCGCGTCTTTTATCCGTCGAAAGTGAGTCTCGCGCGTTAATAAGTATCGGGAGTGTCGAGAATAGCGATGTGAGATCGCCGAGGCGTATCGTGAAGACGTCATTTGTAAGTAATCTTCTCGTTTCTCCTCGCGGTATATGCGGCCGGTGCTTGTCGCGATGTGTCGCGCCGACGTCTCTTCCATTTGCTAAAAACATCGACTCGCTCAAGTAGCAATAGAATCGGGCGATCGTTGGATTTATTGAACGAGAATTGCGGAATAGAAATGCGATGACAATCAAAGAGAAAAAGAGAAAGAGAGAAAGAGAGATGCGGAATATTCGGGCGGTTGCGTCAGCTTGTTAGGAAAAGAGATACGGAGAGAGAAGTATCTCATAGAGTGCGTTCTTTTTGGCCGCGGCGCCGTTCATATATTGGCGTATATTTTCAACGCGATTCAACAATCGCGCGACTATCTTGATTCTCGATCTTTCTGCATCGAACAACCGCCGTAGACATATCGATCGACATCGCTCCGCATTTTACGCGTCTTTAACTCGTTGAAAGTAAGTCTCGCGCGGAAATAAATATCGGGAGTGTCGAGAATAGCCGGGGCGTATCGTGAAGACGTCATTTGTAAGTAATCTTCTCATTTCTGCTCATGGTATATGTATGATCAGATTTCCCAGCCCTGAATTCGGGACACTTCATAAATGTGTGAAGCGGGGGGAGGGGGGAGGGGGGT